TGTTAAGACATGTTGTTTGGTGAGGGAGGAATAAAAAGGTTCAACTGGAAACCCAAGATCTTATCATCACCTCGTGGTACTTACTTGAAGCCAGCCAGAAGCAACTGAGGAACTTAAGTCCAGGCCTGAATACAGTCAGTATAATTCTTATTTATTTTTCCTATGGGGTAAAAGAAGGGGTTAGTGACATCAGTGATACTGGGCACTAGAAGGTAAAGATCCTCAGGTAGGACCATAAAGAAGCATCAACAAGATAGAGGTAGTGAAAAGAGGGAGAAAAAAAATATTATATTTAAGCAATGACTCAACAGACATGTTTATGGTGGACAGAATATAAAGGGAAGCTTGCAAAACAGAAAGAGACTAAGAAGTCTGTGGAGTGAGGTATGAACTTAAGGGGACAAAGAAGAAATGAAGCTGCAATGACTTATTATTCACAGATCAACAGTAGAGCCAGCAGAAGAGAGAATCTGAGATTCAGATAAATTCATGACACAAATGGTTGGATGGAGCAGGAGAAGCCTAAAATAGAAATAAATTAGGATTAGAAAAAAATATAATAGGGTATCTTGCCTTAAATGGAATTAAAAGAATGAGAAGAGAAGAAATAGTGAAGGAATAATTGCCCAGAGGCTGTATACTTGGTGAGGTCCAACTAAGCTGTGGATAAGGAATGGCCAGATTTCACAGGTTCAGCATGGAAATGAGTAATATCCTGAACTATGTCAACATGTAACAGAGCTTTTGGAGTGAAACTGAGATATCCAACACTACTCAACAGTGGTTTCATACCTCCAGCATTTTCATGGAGTGTTCACAAACAGAGGGACTGAGTTAAGAATCTCCAGTTTTTCTATATCACTTCCATTATCTGGAAAGATTCAAGCAGGCAGAAACTGACAATTTCATAGTTGGTAGCTCAAAGTGTGGATGCTCAGCAAATCTGAATTGTTTAAAATTTTGAGACTATCAAGTGTTTCAAGGCAACTATTTTCACCCTGTTCTGAAGCATAAGGAGTTGATTAATTTATTTAAAACTGACTATAAGTGAAATACAAAAAGAGTTTGTGCAGATCTCCCAGTACTGAGGAAAGCATAGAAGTCTAGGTGGATGAATATGTTATGTAATGTAAAGACATTCTGAATCCATGGCACACATGAAAGCCTTGTAATACGGGTTTTCTAAAAGAAGTCAAGTATACTTCCTACTAGCTAAGAGGAAAAAGGCCTTAAACAAGCATGTTCAAAGTGCTCATTTTAACAATTGTGATTTGCATCTAGGAATACTGCATAAGTACTTGTTGGACAAGAATCAGAAGAGCTTTGAGAGTGTGTATAAAAGCACTGAAAAAAAACAAGATTACACATTTGGTATTGCCACAGTGTTCCTTGAGGCAGGCATGCACTAAGCCGCCCACAAACTTGAACCAAAGCTCTCACAATTAGTAGATTTGAACCCAGATTGTAGATTAATAGGTGGAAAAGATGTAAATTTCAGTTTAAAAAGAGAATTCAAGGAGCATGTCACTGCAATACAGGATTACATGACAGGTCAACACAATTTGAGCCTATATACATGAATCAATGTCTGTAAATGTGTGAGTTTTTCTAAAACTTTGGGAGCAGAGGGCTAAAACCTTTTGAGAAGTCAGTGAGGTCTTGGCTTTTAAATTATCAGTAGACTTTTTATCCTCTGTTAGGAAGATTACCAGCTCAGGTTTTATTTATGATCATATGATTTAGTTCAACATATACAGACTACAAGTGTTTGGTACTTTGAAATTTTAAAATGAATATATGAAAATGAAAATAACCTTAGGCAGTAACTTGAGTTCTTTCATATGCTACTTAGAGGATGACAAAGAGCTATAAAATGAACAGGGAATAGCTTCACCAGGCAGGTTTTCTTCCAATCTCCATCCCTTTTCTTTTGCCACAGATACCTTCAGGCCCCATCACGCCATGTCTCCTGCAGAGAGAAAAATCCCTGCTGTTGCCACTGAAAAAGGCAGAATTCAGAGTGGCTTACTATGGACTTTTGTGCCACTACATGTCCAAGACAAATGTTTACAGAACAAACAGTTTTCTGAAGTGGATGGATTAATTTGATAATAGGTTTGAAACTCCTTTCTCAGCTTGGTCCTAAAACACATTACTCACCTCACCGTGAATGGCAATGGAAGCACAGGTAGGCCATATTCTGTATTCCCACCACTTACACATAAAATCCTACTGTAGTCCTGCAGTCTCTGCACAAACAGTAGGCTCAGCTCCCCTCTCACTGACGGTGTCACTGGTTGTCCTTGTGTCCCCCATACATCTCCTAAGCCTACTTTTTATGTGCTCTCACACCACCAAAGGGGGACCAGTCTGCCCCTGGAAGCATATGGAGCAGGACTTGGGATCATGCCACTTTGATTTGGGGAATAATGAAAACAAAAGTGTTAAAACTAAAGACATTCTTAACTATCATCAGGTACCTGTGTATTTGTAAATAAAACAGAGGAGCTACTGATTTGTTACCACATGCACAATTTAATTATTGCTATGACACTAAGGTATGCTAAAGTTCACCTGGACTAACTGGTACTTGTCTAAAGGGTTCCTGGGAATTCGGCATGGGTCCATTTGTGGCAGCAGTAAGGTCAAAATTACCTTCTGAAACATTTATACACATGGTTTGGGAACAGTGAAAACTGAAATAATTTTCAGTTCTCAGCAGGGATGCAACCACTTATTTCAAAGTAAAAGGCAGCCCTCACATGGTGGAGGATGTATAAATGTAGACATGGTGGCAAAAAAACACAGGTATTGTAAAGTGAAAAAGATTCAGTTCTTGACTTCAGGCAAGCACTACCAAGTCAGTATGGAGAGGCTTTTAGCTACAAGGAGTGAATGGATCGTCCAGACTGCAGGCAGGGATCCCTGCCAGGAGGTGCTCTTTGCTCTTTCAGCCATGACATTTTGAGGATGCTGAGAAACTCTTCCAAAATTGAGACAGTCTAGATAGGAAATTTAGCTTTGGACAGGGCATGCTGTAGCACCCAGACAGAATGTCTGTAAAAGGGAAAAGTGAATATGACATAATGTGGAAGATGAGCCTCACTGCAGGACGAACTACTTTGAAATACCTGACATGATCATAAGGGAATGCCTATAAAAAAGCTGTTAGTAAGTACGGTTGTTGTATCAGTAGAGGATTCAGAAAGTAACACTGAACTATTTCAACGTGGCTACGGCTGCCAGTAACTAAAAGATGTTACTTTTTTTTTTTTTTTTACTACATTTCTTGCTTTGAGAAGGCAAGAAAGGCAGCAAAGACAAAGAAAATCCACAAAAAAGACAAGTGATCTTGCTTTTGACATTACGGTCACAGTTCTTTATATGTAAGTAAAGAAATCTCCTTCCTTGACAACTTAAAGGAATTATTTGAAGACTATTCTGGCAAAGAATAAAATTTGGGAAAACTAAAACAAATGCCCTTGGTACATAAGCCCCATCATGCTGCTTGAGAGAGAAACTTTTTTCAACTTCTTCCCAGCTTTTGCTTGATCAGCTTTATCATCCTTTTCAGGTTTCTCAGGACAGCTCTGGCACCTGCTAGAAAACAGGGGTTGATAAGTAAATATCCACCGTCAGCTAGGAAGTACTTTTCAAGTGAGAACTCTGCCAGATTTCTTCACATCTCTTAGGCCCTGTGGTCCTTTTTCCCCTTCAGCGTCAGTAAATGGCTCTAATCAAATCCCAAGGCTTTGGAACAAATTTCCTATCCCTTTTGTGCAAAAATGAATCCTCGAAGACAAATTTGCCAGAGCTTGTCATTAGGATCTCTGTCACTCAATTGTGCCTGCTGTATGAAATCAGTATTTTTGCTGAAATTTCTTGCTCAGCATTTCTTGCTGAGCCTGGTCCTCCTGAGGTTACTGGTAGGGAAGAGGCAGGTGTGCTGTGCCTGTGGCTCACCTCCGTGGCACACAGGTACTGTCTGGGTGTGTAAGCACCGAGCCCTGCTGTCCCTTTGGGCTGAATGCAGGGGAGCTCAGAGAAGGCCCCTCACACCCGGCACATTAAAAGAAGGTACAAGAGGTAGGTTTTGTCCCCAGACTTTCCCAACAAACAGGTGTTTCTGGCTGCCTGTATGTAAACTACTGAGGTAGCATATGAACAGATCTTACTTTTCACAGAACACATGGGTCTGCCGCAGACGCCGGTATCACATTAGCAATTAAAAAGAAATGTGCAAAACCCCTGGTGACCAGTTATCCTGCTATGGTGCCAGTTTTCCACAGGGAATGACAGGACTTTCCTCTCCCCATCTGGAAACCAAGAACGTGTCAGCCTGCCGATGCAGATTTTTCAGCTCTGGTCTCTCATCCTAGGTAGGCACAGGTTAGTATTTCAGCTGTTCTGGGTTCCACCTGACAAAAGTTGTGGCTTGTTTATTTGTCTGTTTTGTCTGCTCTTGTTGAAGAATCACCTGATCTGTTGTGGCACTGAGCGTTTTCCTGGCAAAATCCAGAGTCCGTGCCAGTCACTCCTGTTTAAAACAAAGTACACCGCGGGTGTGGGCCTGTCACACAGCCGAGGAAGCCTCCCGGGATGGTTTCAGCCACCTCGGGAGACTCAGCCTGAGTCACTGGGATGACAACACCAATTGTCACAAATATGAAGAGAATCATGCAGCAGAACATCGTGACATCCATTCAATAACTTGCTGTCTTCAATGAAACTGGATAATTATAGCTAAATGTACTGGCTATGCCACCACTGATATTTTTTTTCCACTGTCAGTCTTGCTGAGCAGGCACCTCTCAAGGGTTAAACTCTCCCTGATGGCAATGTTCAGCCCTGCTCGCAGCTGGCGAAAGCCGCCTTGTAAACATGGTCCCCCCTGCCCGAGTGGTACAGCCGCGCCTCCCTCTCCCCATCCCGCCGCGCTCGCTGGTTGGTGCTGAGGGCGGCGCATGCGTAGAGGACGCCCGGCGGCTGCGGGTGGTGCCGTGGGACCGGCGGGTCGAGCCGGGTCGAGGCCTCCCCAGGCAGGCCGGGCCGGGCCGGGCCGGGCGCGGCGGCGTTGTTCTTGAGGGACCGGGGAGGGCAGTCCCGCAGCCGGGAAGGGCCGTCCTGTCATTGCGGGCAGCGCTGTGGGTGAGGAGCGGGGTTTGGGCGTCGGGGCTGGTCCCTAGGTCTGCGTGAGGGGCTCGGGGTCCCCGGGAGCGGGGGAGGGTTACGGAGGGTGTCGGTGCCGTGTCTGTGCCGGGGAGGAGGAGCTGTCGCGGCCCTGATAGTGCCAGGGCTGGCGGTACTGGGTCGCGCTGTGCAGGGCCTGGTCGGGCCGTGAGGTTGGTGTGCTTTGCCCTGGTTTTCCCCGGGGAGATGAGGGCGAGGGGGCTGCTGGGACGTCGAGTCTGTCTTGCCAAATGTGATGCCAGGGAATGCCCGAAGGGTCTTCGGGGCTCCCGGTCCATCCCCTCCTTGGAGCGGGGCACCTGCGAGCAAAGAGCAGGGCGAGTAGGTGCCCCACAGGGTGCACCCCGGGGAGTGGTGATGGCATTTGCTGCCTGCTGAAGCAAGGCGGGAGCTTCTTGCCGTGCGCTGTGCCCTCGGTGGTCTTTGTGGCCTTTTCACTTGCGTTGACCAGACTCCCATATGCAGAGTGCTGTTAAGCGCTCACAGGTTGCGGCGGGTGTGGTGGTCTTGCTCGTATCATCTATATGGTTCAAAAAAACACTTCGAGTTTATGTATTTCTGTATTATCAGGCTTTTCCCTCCCCACAAGCCTTTGTTTTTGAGCTACAGCGTGTTCAGGAAGTTTCAGACAACTTGAGGCACTTAATGCTGGGGTGTTCAGCTAATTACACTGATGTTGCTAATAATATGTAATAATGCTGCTTGTCTGCATTCCATATTCTTTTTCCAGTTTTGAATATGGGTTCTTTTGGAAAGTGGCTTCATGTTCATAAACCGATTGCAGAGTCTTATTTTGAACCATGATCATTACAGCCCCTTTTTGGTATAAGTGGTCACCCATACTGCATTGGTTTTCTGTAGTTTTATGTCCTGGATCTGTATTTATGATTCTGAATTGCACCCAAAGCTGTAACAAATGCTGGAAAATCAGTGCAGGAGAAGCAGGGGAGTAGGAAAATAACTGCGCAATGCTGTTGAAATGAAAGTTTCATAAGTAACAAAACAGGATTTTCTTCCTGTATTTTCTCTTTCTTTCTTGCTTTCCTACTTGACCCTCCTCTGCTTTTGCTTCACCGCATTATTTTGTGCTAGTAAGGACTTCACAGGCCAGTTGTAAATCTTGTTGCTTAAGTTTTTTTTTGTCTGTCTACCTGTCTTCGGGATGACTGTACCTAATGGCAACAGGATCAAAGTCATAACTTTGTTATGTTCTAAACCCTCTATGGTTTAGAATCTCTCTCTCTATATATATATATGGATGTACTTAAAAATTCACTTAAATTTTTTCTCCTTGTTCCAGATGAAAGAGTTCATGCTTACTGGTTTGCATAACAGAAGAGACTAAATAGGCGTGAAGGAAACTATAGTGGGCATGAGAAGTGTCAAAAGAGAAGAAATGAATCCTACAAATGAAGATCCAGTGTTTGGGACCATTTTTGACTGGGACTATCTCTTATGGGAAGTTCGTTTGACATTTTTAGCTGCTGGTTTTTTAATCTACTTGGGAGTATTTCTTCTGTCTCACTGGTTGTCTTCTTGGAGAAGTACCACTTACCGTGCCTTGCATGCAAAGGAGAAGGTGTTTTGGAATATGGCAGTCACACGTGGTGTGTTTGGACTTCAGAGTTGTGTTGCTGGGTTATGGGCTTTGCTCATAGATCCCGTTTTTCATGCTGACAAAGTCTATTCACAGCAAAAGTGGAGTTGGTTTAACTGTTTAATAGCAGCTGGATTTTTCTTGCTTGAAAATGTAGCAGTTCACATGTCCAACATAGTTTTTAGAACATTTGATGTTTTCCTGGTAGTTCATCATTTGCTTGCTTTTGGTGGCTTGGCTGGTTTAGTAATTAATGTGAAATCTGGACATTATCTGCCTTTGATGGGAATGTTGCTGGAGATGAGTACTCCCTCAACATGCATTTCCTGGATGCTTCTGAAGGTAAGAATGTGATAATTTTCAGATTATCTTTGTAACAGTTTTCATGCATTTCACTTGTTCATAGATAATCTGTGTGGTTTGTTTGGATAGTTTTTCATCAAATCTGCATTTATCCAGCTGATATCTGTGTTATTGTCATACCTGCTTTTGTCATGATGGTATTTGTGCTGGCCTCCATGTAGGTTTGTTTGGTGCTGTGTGCACGCACAGTGGGATGGTATAGATCCATACCAAGTTAGGGATGCCATATATATGTGGAGTAACACTGCACTATGAGGAAAAAATGTCTGAGAGTGTGTGTATATGAAAGCTGGATATTTGTATTAGTTCTACAGATTCTTCAGTTCCTTATCTTGAAGTAACAATTTCACTTCTGCATACTTTGTGTTCTTATTTTTCTAGGCTGGCTGTGCTAACACTTTTTTCTGGAAGGCAAACCAGTGGGTGATGATCCATCTGTTCCACTGCCGCATGATTCTTACCTACCACATGTGGTGGGTGTGTATTTTCAATTGGAATTCTATTGTAGAAAATCTGGGACTTCTTCACTTTATTGTTTTATTCTCTGGATTATTTGCTGTTACACTAATACTTAACCCATACTGGACATACAAAAAAACTCAGCAACTCCTCAGCCCAACTGACTGGAACTTTGAAAATAAAGCAGTGGAAAATGGAAAATTAAACGGTGAAACACATCAAAAGAAGAGGATATAGCATTGAAACAACGATTTCCCAGCAGGGTAACAGAAGAATACAATGCAAAATCATTCTTTGCACGTAAACTAGAAGATTTTGCAAGAAGCTCATTGACACAGTGACTGCTGGTAGCACTCTGTATGCATCACAAGTGTTGAAAAGCATTGTTTGTATTTCTTATGTGTATACCTATAAGAACTTCAACCCTTGTTATGAATTACATCAACAATTTATCAGGTTGGACAGTATTTTATAATTTAGTAGTGATGTGCTCCCTAATGACATGTTTTCTTTCCTGATGCTTCAAAGTGGCTTTACAGTAAGTCATCTGTTAAGCTCAGCTTGAATCAAGTTTAGCTTGAATCCTATTTCACTTATGGTGGAGATACTGATACTGAAAATTGTGTTAAATTGTTTATTAAGATCAATTATGATCCAAGTTAGGTATGCATGGGTACCTAATTTCTGTGTGTCAGTGAATCATTCCAAGTGGAAGAACTGGTCAGTGGTAGAATGCAGTCATGGCCTGGTTTTGGGTTTTGTTGTTGGTTGGTTTATGGGCTTTGGTTTTTTTGGGTATTTGTTTTTCTTTTTTTCTTTTAAGTGCACTTAAGGAACAGGAAAATAATTGTTTGAGTTTTTGTTGTCAAAGTTGTAGTTTTTCGAGGTTGCCCTTAGTATGGGAGGAGTTCATATCCATCAAAACCATGCATGTGGAGATCAATGCATTTGCCATTTGAGTGGTCTCTGGACTTGAAATCAATGAAATACAAGTGGCAACACCAGAAAGTCACCAGAAGGTGACTGTGTATTGTCCTTGAAAAAAAATGCTGCTTCATTAGTAAAATTATTTGATTTGTAGGTCCCCCATGATGGGTCATGCAATTAGTTCCACTAGTGCTTCTGTTATGGTTCCTCTTATTTTTGGGAATGCACTTAGTTTTAGATGGTTTCAGCACCTGAGGTGACTCCTCTATGGAGGAAAGCCCATATCACCTGTAGGAGTTCGGTTATTTTAATATTTTAATTTAACTTTAAAGAACATACCAAGTGACACTAAAAATCCTTTGCACTTTATCTGACACATCACAAAAATCTTTCCTTGACCTGAGAAACTGGGTTGTTCTTTAGATAGGGACTAACTATTCTCCCACTTAAAATATTGGTGTGATGGTTCCTGGGTGAAATGTTGGGAAATGGATGAAGGGATAAAAATCACTATAGAAGAGAGTGACGCCTAGTGGCAGGAGAATGACAGGGGTTATTAGTTTTGATGCTTGGAACAAATGAGATTTTAAAAAAATGGTTAATTGGAACTCTGTGTGACATGACTGCTACACAGATTTATTTCCCAAAGCTTTAAAACTGGGAGAGCCCAAGCTGTGAAAAATTTTTGATCAAGCCATGAATTAGAGACTTTGTGGACTGATCTGTGGTGGAACATACTGTTTTAAATGTGTGAGGGAAGCACTCTTTGGTGTAAACAGCCCCATTTTGTAAATTTTTATTGGGAATGTCTTTGATTTGTTCTGAGTGAAGGGAGTGGTCAGGTTGCTATGTCCCCTAATTCACTCTGTGTGAGTACAGAGTTGAATTGCTGTTCTATGATGTGAAGGAAACTGCTTACTTTAGGTCACAAATATATATCAAGATATTGTTGATAATGATGAAGTGGTGAATATCTGAAATTTCCCATTTAAAACCAGGCTGAGGGTCGCAGCAATTTTACACAGCATCCCTGTCTGTTATTCTGCTTATATTTGATAGATAAAATATAAATTTTGAGCTACCTTCTTATTTTTAAGATGGGCAAAATGAAGTTGCAGTGTTGCCTGCCTGGGTGCCATCCTATAGTAAAAAGGGTTCTCAAAAGTTTGAAATGGTGTAGCTGTCTTGAGGAGTTGTCTGAGGGAGAATAATGTTAAAAGGACTTTGGAAGAAACCATAGGGATTAATTGCTTGCCTGTGGAGTCAAAAAATATGATCTGAATGCATATCTTGCAGAATCCAAACCTCGCTTGCAAGAGTTCCAGGGAGAAAGGCAGAGAGAAAGTCATCTGGTATCAGAATGATGGTCTACTCTGTGAAGTTCAAAACTTGAAGGTTTGGAGTGGATAACACAAGATAATAATTGTTAAAATCCCAGCTACAGCGTTCTAAAGAATCCTAACAGAAAATGGAAGCATCAGAAGAAGTGTGGGATGACTGTGTAATTCTTGTAGTGGCTGGCTAAGGAATGTGGAGTTCCTATGTGCTAAAATAAAATAATGTGGAGGGTGGGGGTTAGTAGTTAATTGAGACTGAAAAAAGACAGCTGGAAATTTATGTCATAGTACCAGATGTCTAAAGTTTAATATATTATTAATTTGTATAACTTTATTAATTGAATTTAAAATCTTAAATTAAAATTATGGTTTTATCATCATAATTCAGCCTTTTTAGTTTGCATCCTAGTGTGAGTTTTTTCACAAAAAGACTTAGGGTTTGCATGTCTTAACTATATAATGTTAATGTTAGAGCCCCTGTTAACCTATATACTGGTAGACCAGCTAGAACAAGAAAGCTATAAAGCAAATAACAGCACTTATTTTATTTCTTTTATTTTAAGGATACTTTACAGTCCAGCTGAAGAAATACAACACAACAAAAATACAGACCTTTCTTCTTCATCTCCTTTATGGCTTTGTGTTGGAGTTACCAGTTCTGTTAAACAGAGCCTCTTTTATTACACTTGAGTGTGAAAGGACCTTTTATAAGGGCATGTAGTGATAGGACAAGGGTAATGGCTTAAAACTAAAAGAAGGAGAGATAGATTATATTAGGAAGAAATAGTTTCCTGTGAGGGTGGTATTGCACTGGAACAGGTTGTCCAGAGAAGTTGTGGATACCCTGACCCTGGAAGTCCAGGTGAGGTTGGATGGGGCTTTGAACAATCTGGAGTAGTGGAAGGTGTCCCTGCCTACAGCAGGAGGGTTGGAGCTAGGTAATCTGTAAAGTCTCTTCCAATCCCAGACTTCTGGGATTCTTCACTGGATTCTGTTGACTGGTCCCTTTAGGAGGGTTTTCTGGTTTATTGTTGTAGAAGTCACGTTGCTCTGAAACAAGTCTGAAAAAGTTCTTGAACTGAGGATTTTGGTGTCTATTTACCCTTATAACTAAGTGCTCGTTTTCAGCCCAAAGGTAGAGTAGCTAAATCTTGTTTGTAAATTTTATTAAGTGAAATTTATCCCAGTCCTGGGCCTTCTTATACAGCCTCATCCACAATTCCCTCTAGAAAAATTCAATTAGCTTCAGCAGTGTCTGGTTTGGGTCACAGGGTATGCTGCTGTGGATTTGGAAAATTTGCATAATGTGATTTTGGGTGTATTATTTGTTTGCCAAGGTGATTGCTATGGACTTGCCTCTGCTTTCTTATTGAACAAGCTGAATTGAGGAGTGGTATTTGTGTCACCTTTCCAGCTGGAGCTTTTTTTTAAAAACATCCAAACAACAAAAACCCAAATCAGCAAACTGTGATGAGGTTAATGGCATTCAGCTGTTTTGGTTTGGGGTTTTTTTAAAGAAAAATATCTGATCTGAGACACCTTTTTCAGTCATCTGGCTCTTACTGTCTTCATACAGCATTCCTAAATAACAGTTTGTGTTTTCCTCCAGTTCTTTCCTATTTTTATCTCCAAAACTTGTCATTGTTTTCCCCCCTGAACCCACCAATTTTCTTGATTTTTATTCTTACTTGCAGTATTGGTCATGATGTTGGAGTAGTCACATTATCACTGCAATATTTTTGTCTAGTAGTTTTCAATACATCCTGCCATCTTTGACTAAATATCCATGTCCAAACCTTTCAGAGTCTTTTTGTGTTTTCCTGATAACATGGATTAAATATTGATGTGATACAGTTATAAGAAACCTTCTTTAACCTCAGGGAGACTCCCCCTTAAAGTGAATTTAAAACTGTTAAGCAAACTCAAGTCTTCCCTTGTACAATATAATGTTTGTTGAAAAGCATCTTTATACATAAATAAAAGTATTTTATTGAATAGCTGCCTATCGTGAGTTTCATTTACTGATTAAAATAATGGCTGTTATTTTTTGCTTGCTATTTGTAGCTTAAACAGTTTTTGCAGTGCATGCACTAAAAAAGTGATTTATTTTGAAATGCTAAACTTGACAAAGGTAATGTCATATAAATGAAAATAGCTATAAAAATCTTGCAAACCAATGTCCTTTCACCAACATTTCATGTCTAATTCGCACAAGCATGTTTAGAACACTAGAAGCTGTGCTATATATAAGTATGTATTAAAAACAGTTAAAAAACCATCTCTTGGGAATGGCCCTTCTGACTTGTGTATTTGAAGTGTGTGGTCCATTTTTGCATTGGGCTCTAACCATGAAGATACTTCATTTGTTACCACATGATGCTTCATAGTTTAGTATAAGCTACCTTAAATAAACAATAAAAACAATGGCCATAAAGACCAAAAACTTGCCCCACTGCAAAACAGTAAAGTACAGTTCTAAGCATTTCTTTCAGGATGTTTTTCAGGAATTAATTCCTGATGCTTTTTAGTTAGTTAGTCAAGGGAACAGCATCATTACTGGCATTTTATTTATTCTTATATGAATGCACAGTGCAAGCAACTGATTGTCTGCCTCTGCAGCACAGTCCCCAAGATTAATTGAAGCAGAAGCAAGACATTCTTGTGTACAGCTCCACTAACTGTGAGATTATGTGTGGGTAGAGACTGGGATGGGAAGAACGATGTATAATAGTGTTGGTATGGGTAAATACCCTTTTTTTTCTGGTAAATAATCTCTAAAATGAATTTAAATGTTATTGTTTTGCTATTTGGGTGTTTCAATTAATAGGTAAATACATTTTACTTGGTAGTGTTAAACATATTCTCAGAAAACTACTGGAGCAGACTTGTGCCAACAATGTTATATACAGCAGTTACAATCTTTTGGTCTTGTATCATTGCACTGTTGCTTAATTTAGAACCAAAAAATGTAAGCAGTGGTCATTAATGAAGGAAACTATGCCTGTTGTAGTTGTCAGCCCCCAGATGGATCTCCAGTATTGGAGGAGACATTTCATGCTCTGGATCTGATTGACTAATTACCATGTTCTGCTGGTGGTGGTGCCACAGAGCAGGCACAAGTATTTTGCAGCACACTGTGCCTTCCTCTTTTCCCTAAGTTGAGCACTGGTGAGTGGGGTGGAATGATGATTGTACAGCAAACCTGCAAGGCCACAGCAGACCTTTTTCATAGTTCAAGGTGGCAGATAGGCCAAGCTTGGAAGGAGTGGGGCCTGCTCACCCATCCACAAATTAGAAAGCAAGGAAATTGGCTGTGCCACTGCTTGCTGCTATTGTGTGTTCTTAGAGCCAGTTAGGGTTACTTCTGAGTCCTTAGGAATATGACCTGAGCAGAGAGACTGAAAATTTAATACTAGCTTTGTCAGAGGCAGTATTTCTGCTCTGAAATTTTTATTTCCTTGTATGATTGCCTCTGCTACTTTGACTGCTTGGCTCACATTAGTGTGCTGTGTAAGCTGACAGTGTTTTCACCGCTATGTCCACTGTAAAGAATTGTGGGGTTTTAGTACTGGTAATTGATTCTGGCAGCTCCAGGTATTTGCTTGGATTTATATATTGCGATATAGATCTTCAATGCCCTTCTCTTGCCTTGCTGCTTCTGCTGCTAAAAGCAGTTTACTGTGTGAACACAGCATTTTCTTACTGAAGTGCTCATTCAAGTTTAAGCATGGGGTTTGCAGCAAGAAGGGGACAAAATATACTTGAGAAAGGACTAACTTCATAGAAGGTAGAGAGTTGACTTTCCTGTTTCTGAACCTTGCAGTTCTGCTGTCGGGCTCTTTTAAGTGTAAATCAAGGTGATAACTATGATACCATGAAAAAGAAAGCCATGCAGACAAACTACAGAAGTATATAAAGTACTTTTGCATGGAGGTTTGCATAGAGTAGGCAGATAGCATCCAATGAGCTTATTCATCTTGTTTTGTGGGTCATATTTACAGGTAGAAAGTATATACTGGAAAGTGGCAGTAGCCTTCCTAAGGAGTCATTAAGAATTAAATAAGAAAAAAGGCTTTTGGATGAGGTGTATGGAACTGGTTGTTACATTTTATACTGCTGATGAGGTTGTGGTTACATATTGAAAGTGTAGTTTTTCTTTTGCTTTAACTCTTCCTTATTTCTCTCAGTAGGATATTACTGTGACATAGTTGAGACTAAGTTTAAAAACTTTTTAGGACATCAAAATTGCTAAGCAATATATTGCCCAAGGCTGAAAGAGCCTAAAGTCTGTTCTAATTTAATTTATTTTTGTATCATCACTGCCTTTTTATCTTACATAATTATTTTTTACCCCTGGAGACTTTTGTGTATTCATGAATACAAATCAATCTGCTCTTTTGTTTTCCCAGCCGTCCTAATACTCTTTGTTTGTCACTTTTCCCACTTAAATTCATTTTTATTACATGTTGACAGCTTAGAGTTGTACATAGTATTTGATATAAAGTCTTGTATTACTCTAGTAACTCCTTTCCTCCCCTAGGAACAGTTGGCCAAAGGCTGCCAACTTTTGTCTTTCAGAGTTGCACCGCCTCAGCGCTTTGTGGTGCTCCTGAGAGGAAATTCACTCAGGTTTTTCCCTTTATCAGCTTCAGGAGGAAGAAGAGCCATCAGAGAACAATGAAATAACTGAAAGTAGGAATGTGTTATAGAAACAACTTGTGCATGTGACTGTCTGGAGTGTGAGTGCCCAGGTCCCGGCAGCACTGGGGGTTCTGTCAGGAGAGGCTGGGGCTGCCCCGGCCGGACACAGCCGGTTCCAGCCGGACACAGTCATATCCAACTACCCACTGCAGGGCACGGCTGAGCCACAGCTGAGGCAGGAGCATCATCATATGAAACAGGTAAAGAAGGGCAAAAAATGATGCAGAAAAGTGAGGAGTGAGGAGAACAAAATGAAAGAAACAGCTCTGCAAGCACCAGGTTCAGTGAAGAAGGAGGGCAAGAAGCTGCCCCAGGGCACCAGAGCAGAGATTCATCTGCAGCCCATGGCGGAGCCCTTGAAGGAGCAGGTTTATCCTGAAGGACTGCAGCCTGTGGGAGGCACCCACACTAATGCAGAAGAGAAACAAGAGGAGGAAGAAGTACCGGGAGGAGCGGTTATTGACTGACCACAACCCCAGTTCCCATCCCACTGTGCCCCTCGGGGTGGAGGAGGCCAAGGATCTGGGAATGGAGTGATGTTGAGCCTGGTGAGGAGGAAAAACAGAGAGGGGGAGGGTATTTTTACTTTTGTCTTTGTTTCTTACCATCCCATTTTTAATTTTAATTGGCAAAAAATGAAATTGCCCCAAGTTGAGCCTGTTCAGCCCATGACAGTAGTTGCTAAGGGATCTTCTTGTCTTCCTTTTGACCTACAAGATTTCCATTTTATTTTCTTCCCCAATCCTTCCCCCAATGTGGAATGAGAGAACAACTGGGTGAGGGTCTGGTTGCTGGCCAGGGTCAACCCATCACAAGAAGTTATGGTATCAGCTGTACTATCACTTACGTACCTCCTATGACAAGGAGCTCCTGAGAAATATTAAAATGTAGGAAAATTTATACCTAGTCTGTCTGAATTGGCAGTCTGAGAATTTGACTTGCAAATACTCCTCATAAAAGAAGGAAAGAAGTGAAATGAAATGCATTTATGAAAGAAGTTCTAGTGCTGGTAAAAGATCACAATATTATAAAATTCTGTTGTCTACCTGTACTAATGTGCCCAGAACAGAGTCTCCCAGTAGTGGTGCTGGTGCTTCAGGAAGATGTGGAAGACGAGTCAGCAGTAGGCATCAAAGCAGAATGTGAATAAGCAGTGTTTTTATAAACCCAAATGTTGCTTTTGGTGTAATAGTCTGAATTTAGGAAAACTGTGGTTTGCTTTTATTTTTTTAAAAGAAATATTATATAGTATATATAAATAAATAAGTCAGTCTGGTTTTGTAAGGAAAGTAGAGAGACCTGTAACTTTACAAGGCTCCAGCATGTGTTCTTCAGATGCTCAAGTTAAGCAAGCTCATTGGATGTCTTGGCTTGGTGTTGTTTCTGAGGGATTACAGTAAGCAAATGATGTACTGTCTTCATGGGGGACACAGCTGGGAACAACAGAATTTCCAGTGGATGAATACTCCCTAGGAAAAAGTGCCAGCTACATCAGCTGTTAAATGGAAGAATCTGAGAAAACTAGGCTTTCTTGGGGAACTTGATAACCTAAATTTTAGTTGTTTTGTTCAGATTTCATGCAGTATTTTGGAAAACAAGCTACTTGAATGATGTCTGATATCTTAGGTGTCATAAATTTAGGTGTACATCCAACCATGCCAATTTCCATGGAGAGAGAAAAAAGGCACCCCATCTTCATGGCATTGTGTTGCAGGGGGTCAGGTCACCACCCGGGGCTGATGGTGTCCTTCAGATGCCTGGTACATGAGCTGGAATTGATAGATAGTGTAGCTGTACGGTGAAGATGCAGGGGGTAGATGGCTTATGTGCAGTAGCTTGGAGGTGAAGCATCTTTGCTGAAGCCCCAGTAATCAGAAATGACAGTAAGTAAATTTTGGTGTGGCCTCATGCAACTATCACCAGTAAAACCAATTTGAACATCACCTTCTTGGAATCTGGTTGTAAAAAGCATCATGTTAACAGCAGAGACAGCCATTATCTGTAGTCTAATTGTCAACAACTAATTATGGGTGGATAAATAATGAATTTCTGATTGCAATGATTAGGGTGCTAATTATTACTGCTAGTAGGCTGTTGCCTTATAAAACAGTAAGAAAGTGCAAGTTATTTAGAAAGTTAGGTTTTTTTTTTCTTTTTTATAAATTGATCTGCTATTGCTGGATTTGTCCAACAAGGTTTCTACAGCCACCTTTTATTGGAATATATGTATGATCACCAGAATCAAAAAAAGGACCTGTCAAAGATCAAAAGGGGTCACAAAATGTCTTAAAGAA